ATTTAAGTAATGTTGTTAAGGATATTTTCGTTTTTAAATTGAGATTACTAGTTAACTTATTTGTTAACAAGAATAACGATCGACGTCTACGTAGAGCTGTCTTCATCCTGCCCTGCACGATGTTGCGTTCCCCAGCATGCAAATCCAATTACGATGGCACTAATGAATATGTATCAGTATTCAAATTTCCAAAAGATACAGTAAAACGGGATTTATGGATCAAAAAAATTCCAAGGAAAAATTTTATTTCAAGTGATCGCAGATGAATTCAATGTGAAAAACATTTCGAAAAGATGATATTATTCGCTATGATTATTTACCAACAAACGAAGGTACTTTTATTCAGATGTGTAGAGGGCATCCTAAATTAAATAACGATGCTTACCCATACATTTTTTCTGGTTGTCCAAAATACCTATCTGAAAGTCCAACCCCTCAGAGGATGAGCAGGGAGGAAAAAAGAGCTAAGTTGGAGAAGCATATTTTTAATGAATTTTTGAGAAAGGACAAAATAGCATCATTTGAGGATTTTTCTTCTATGTTACCAAATAAATTAAATATTTCAGATACTTCAAATATTATTTTTACACAAAATCTGTTGCTGGTATTTATATTTTATTAACTCGAGGTGGTTTAAAACATTCCATCTCCTAAATATTGAAAAAACTATGTTGTGACAGTGTGCTTCATATAGATATAGCAGTTTATCTAAGAGATAAAGTTTATTTCCTGATTACGAAATTTTATTTCTAAAACCAGTAAAGGAAGTGGAAACAGCATTCTTTACTGGTCAAACTTACCGAGATATATGTACAAAACATTAACATGTTTGATGTTCATGAAACTTGTTTAATGTGTGGAATTCCCTTTTCTAGCAGATTTCAAAAAATAATGAGCACCGTTTCAAATATTTGTTTTAAACAATTATACTAAAGTTCTTCAAAATAATATGCATACAAAAATCGATGAAAGGAAACTTAAAAAAATCAAGAATACGTGATGAAAAGATTATGAGTATGTAAATGACATTGTTTTATTTATTTAAAAATAGTGTACTAAATATGATGCAGTTCAAATATTTTCAATAATGTATCTTTTACATTTAAATTATTAATCCTTTTGCTGTTTCCTTATTATTTGATAATACTTCATAATTTTCAAATAAATTATCAATTGCGATTAATATGCTCAGTATACTAGAAAAACTTGCACAGTATTCCTAATAGACAGAAATGATGGTTTGTTTCTATGTATAGTTGTGGTTGGGGAGGTTTTCGTTGGCAAATTTTATTGATTTTGTTACGCTTTTGTGAAACATTATATGGATGGCTTTTATTTGTAAATATATTATTTATTATGCATCTACATATAACTAATAATGTAAATATTATTAAATGATGTAAATATTCTTATAATTATTGCTATAGAATATGTGAAAATTATTCGTTTTCTGTAATGTTGCAGCAAAATTGTAATTTATTTAATTTACAAAGTTTTGAGATTTAAATTTTTTCTGTGGCTTTTCTGTTCATTTTATTAGATAGTAAATTAAATGAATTAAAAATACATTTGCATAATGATTGGAAGCTATGAAATATTTATAGTTTTAAGGAAAAATTATTTCTTATGTCTTTTAATTTGCTAAATTATATTTACTTTTGTTAGTGAATTATTTATATTTCTAAATCTTTTCATTCCTCTCCTTTTCAAACTGTAAAGACAATTTTATGTTAATAAATAACAGCCTTTTTATTTACTTATTTCAATACTTTCTTTTTTGAGTGTATCCTACACAAATTATTACAATACAGTGTAAAAAAAAAAGCACAAGATAACCTAAAACATGGCATAGAAAATTTCGTGATATTTCTTAAAAAATATTTTATTAGAGTTATTAATCTTACTGCAAATGAATATTTACTACGACCTTTTTTATAAGTCTCTGGAAATTTAATTATTATGCATTATTAAAACAAAACACTCTAAACATCACGAAAACGACGCTCGCATTCAAATCTGAAGCAAAGAAAGTCACGGAAGAATCGGACGCCTTTCGTGACGTCACTCGTAGCTAACCAGGCCATGTCATCTCGAAGGCCACGGTTAGGCTCTAACCGTCACCTCTGCCGTAGTTACGTTTGCTTATTGCTGGTTGAAGTGGTTTAATTGCATTTATATCTGCTGCCACTAACTTCGAAGGGGGTTTAAGTTATGGGACCTCGCTAAGCCTTGTAGTCTAGTTCTATCGTTTGTTTATATCTTCAAATTTTTAGTTTAATTACGTAATTTTCAGTTACCGCCCAAGCAGAAGCGAAGTTTGTTAGCGTCGAGTTGACGCATTACAAATTTTCAAAAGATTTAATAAAGGGTATTTTAACCTTTCTCTTGTGTAGATTCCTGCTACTCCAGTTTTAGATAGAAGTTCACCCACCTAGACTCTACATCTTGTTTGGCTATTTCTAATCTTTTAGGATATGACTGTCTTCCTTTTGAATAAACTGATTTGTCATTAGCAGTTACATAACGCTCAACATTGTGTTTTGCTTTAGAAGTTAGTAAATCACGTTTTGTTTTTCTGGAAATTGTGTCAATTTAGAAAATATATCATTTTTGTTTAAGGTGCTTATATTTGATTCAACGGCTGATGATATGATTTCCCCTATAATGCTGAGTTTAGTTACATCATCAATTAGTTTTTTTTGTTTTTAATATCAGTCAATAAATTAAACTGGTTAAGAAAATGTGCACCCTAAATACCTTTTTTGACTTTGGCTATGATAAATGGCCATTGAAAATCACGGCAAAATCCCAATTCAAAATTTAAAATTTTTTGTCCGAAACACTGATATTTCAATAGCATTTGCAGCATATAGTCGCCACTTACTTTGTCATTACATATGGCTATGATTAGACTACTGTCAACAAAAAATTTTATCCTTTTTTTCAGTTACAGAAAGTCTGTGATTGAATTTACGGCAATTCTTTAAATCTTCAGCAGCAGAACTGGATACTAATTCTGATTGTGCTTCACAAGCAAGTTTTCCTAGTTATTTTAGTTACATGGTAGCTTACGTTTTTCCGGAAAGCATCTTGATCCAAAAGAAAAGTGGTAATACGTAATACAGTTTACCATCCAAGGTTGTAACGCCTCTAGCTTCTGTTTCTGCCTCTAGACAATGATCTGCTATTTCTTTTCTGTACTATGACTTTTTTCATTTGGCTGGCAATGGAAATGGAGCTCTTCGATCCGCCGTTCCGACGAAGATATCTTCTCCAGTAATATTGAAATGGTAATTTAGGACGCGCGCGAATTCTTAACTTCAGTTAAATAAGCCTCATATACTTCAGTTTGTGAATACTTGTCAAAAATCTTATCAGCCATAATCGCCAGTTTATTAATACTTTCATCACCGAACACCAATATTTGTTTAATATTGTGCGATAATTTTTCAGTCCATAGTGTTTTTAATACTCTGTCGGAAATGTTACTGGTTGCTAAGAATTTCATTTGTCTTTTTGTAAGAGATTGTTTGGTTTTATGTCGCCAGTTTCAGTGCCAGTGAAAAGGCATTTGATTAATTTTTTTCTCTTTCTTTGAATACATTTAATAAATGCTCTTTCGCCAATGAATATGTAGTTGCAGCCTTATCAGATATGTCCCAAAACAGTGTCTATATATTTAGGTTCCATTTATGAGACAATTTCGTTAAATTTGGTATCTTCTTTAGTTATACCATTAATTTTAAATTGTGCTTCTGTCTGGTGAAACCAAATTTCTAGCTTATCTATTCAGAATGGAGGAATTTTTACACATACCTTCATAGTTTCCGAAGAATTAGCAACATTTGACTGGTTTCCTGTGTTTTCTGTAAAATTTACCGTTACTAACTTGGGTTACCAATGAATGTAGCGGTTGCTGCATCATAAAAACGTTAATTATCGAATTAAGAATAACTTTTCACTACTATATTTTAAAGAAAATTATTTATTACTTTCTAAGATATCGATCTTTTAAAAGTTATTATTATAATCATATTATTATTATTATTTTTTTTTTTTTTTACCGTTGCTATTCGCGGTCTACATAAAGTTGTAGAAACAAAAATATTGTATATCGTTTGTAGAGGTTACACCCTGAAAATGGCAAAGGCTTCTAGAAGACAAACCACATCGCAAATTCAAACCCTTTCAACAGTAATGTGGGGATTATCTTCAACCCAGTACACACAATTATGCCTTTTGGAAGTTACATTAAGTTTACATTGGATTTTATCTGACCATACAATGCTATTTTAAGTCCTGGTTTACGTACCATCTCCTGAACCCGATCTCCAAATTATGCCCGGTGATCTGGGCCATCGTCACTTACTTGTTGCATTAACCTTGGAATGTACATATGCAATCTGCCTTTCTTCAGAATGCGTAGCGCCCCACTAGCACTTAACCACTTTCATGTGACTCTTGCCTTGAAGAATTTTTGGCGAACGCAGAAACAATTCTAGCACCGCAACTGAGAATTCATCACTAGTAGCTGCTCAAGGTCGCCGTGATCGGCCTTTATGCACATCACACATTGTTTTGTGAACCTCGACCCTTTCTCGAACCCTTTTCTCGTTAGACGTGTAATTGTTAACTTTGAAGGTGGATCAGGCTTCATACTCACATCTCCACCATCTCTAAACTGTAGCAACATTCTCGAATTTCCATTATTACTTAATAACCTGCTTCTCCTCTTGAGAGCTCAAACATATGTCTGCCATGTCGTTTTTACTCTCTTTGCACTAACATGGTGCAGTTTGATCGTCAATTTTATTGCTACCTGTTGAGCAAATTTAAACATTATTTTTTCTTAGAAATTTAACGTTGTAGGTAAGAAATTATTTTTCTATGAATCAAGTTCAAAATGTGTACACTTTTTTTCTGATGCACTCGGTATGTCCAAATATATCTTAAAAATTTGTTTTATTTTTGCTTGTGCAGGAATTTAATTTTTCTTTCAGAGTAGTTACTGAAGCTGCTGTTCGTCAGTTGAACAAGCTATGGCATGTAACAAATATATATTTGCATCCAACACTACATGAATATGCAAAGAAACTGACTGACCATTTACCTGAAGATTTAAAAGTGAGTATTAAATAGAGTAAAGCAATATGAGAAATTTTTAATATTTATATCAAGCAATCATTTTTTAAGAAAATTTTATGTTAAATATATCTAAAGCATGGGGAATATTTCATATTTATATTTTTGAGATATTTTTAAATATCATTCTGTGTTTTAAAAATTTAATAAATGAATTTTAATTGTTTTATCTCTTCTGTATTTCATTTTAATAGAAGCAAAATTGTTTTAACTGTAGTTTAAAGCACTGTTAAACATGTTTTCTCTTTCAGCTTTCATATTATTTTAATTTCATATAAAAGGCTTAATGTATTCTTAGAAACAAATAACATAGTCTGCATTCCGACAAAATTTATATGACATTGTTACTGCTTTCTGTTTCGAATATTTTTTTCATTTGAAGAAGAGAGACCATGCTGTGTCTGAATATAAGTTCAGATTCTTTATTTCAAAGTAATGGCAAGCATTTGAATCTTACCAATTATTATTCAAGCATATTTGAAGCTATCCATAATATTTACTATCATAATTTAATTAGTGGAAAAATATGTTAAAACTGTCCATGTTTTTAACTAAGAAACATTCTTCCATACAAGCAAACTGCAGCAAAAATTGGAATAAAATCTAACCTCAGAATTAAAAAATTACACAGGAGACAATGTCTCACGAGTTTTTTTGTATTAGCTGTACTACAGGAAATTGATAAAATGGTCTTCTGGTGCTTGAGTCTTAGACAGTTGAACTTGATAATTTTTGTTCCATCTTTGTTTCCAAGCAAATGGGGTTGGGAGTTTTGTGGTTTTTCATGTGTACAATATGAATAATGCCAATTTCTCTTCAAACTTCCTCCATGAATGCGTCTATTACCTTAGGCAGATAGCTTTTCCATTCTTTGCTGTATTCAATTAGCCAATAAAATATAAAATGTAAATAAATTATATCTATAATATCTAACATCCTGTCAAGAAAACAATTTTTAATGTTAAAGAAAAAATAATGTTGAGTAATAGATCTTTTTAGTAGATGTGTTATTAGAGTTGAAATGTGAAGTAGTTTAGAGCAGTGGTTTCATACTCAAATTGTATATGGGCCGAATGCTCGATCTGAAAGCAACTGAGGGGCTAATTTTTTTAAACTAAAATAAAAAGTTTTTTTTTAACCAAAGAAAATTTTATTTACTAAATATTTATTAAAACATATATAAACAGTAATAATAATGATGTTAAGAAAAAAAATTCCAAGTAATATTAATTTTCAGTCTGAAATCCTAAGGCTGGCATCTGCAAGAAGTTTCTTATGGTTACACTTTGTAGTTCCAACATACTGATAGCTAAATATTAAATTTTTAGACCAACATTTATTTCCAACAGTTCTATACTGAATAATTTAAAGAAACTACGAAAACTTGAGAATAAATAATGACAATCCATTTTTTTTCTTTTCTTTATTAAATTGTTCTTTGATGCATGCAGAAAAAATGCATATGTAAATAATTATAATTGCCTTTATTTCTTATTATAGCACTTCATTGCATTTCAATTTTGATAAAGTCTGTAATCTTGGAGAAAAGTTACTAGAAACTATCTTAATCACGAATTGTAGAACCTCATTGATAAGTCTGGATCTTTTTTTAGACTATTCATTTTTAACTTCAGGGTAAAAAACGATATTTACTTATAAATGTGCTCCCAAATAAAGCTTATTTTTATTGCAAAAATTCGTAACTGTGTAGCGTTTCACTTAGTTAAATTAACCAATTATTCAAATTTTTGTTATTTTCCTGAACTCCTCAACTTCCCCTCACATTTCCTCGCCAGGATGTAAGTTCAAAGTTAAGTGAAGCGAGTATTTTTAAACGGGTGAATCTTGGAGTTTATTCAGAGCATGGTTTCACTAGCCAGTGCACGTTTCGTTGATGACCTTGCTGTTACGCGGAGTTGCTGATACGTCTTTTGGCCATTTGAATAATTATCACACCTGGTAGGTTGTCGAGTCAATCTAATTAGCCAGAACTTAAGGTGCTAGTCCAACACTTCTCTTTTCAGACTTGAATTGATTTGTTTAACAACGCTTAAGTTCCACCGCCAGTTGTTGGTGTTATTGTAAAGCAGGAAGTATGTGCCTTTCTGTTCCATAGTTGAAAATAATAAAAGGTTATTTTTATCTTTCGTCTGCGTTGGTATTTTATGCCTGTGCGAGCAGTCGCCAGTTTCATTAGTAGGATCTAGATTAGTTTGTGGCCAAAAAGTGTTAGATCCTATAAGTGGCGCCCAAGTAAATCCGAACTCATGGCTGATAACGATACTACTGTTTAGCTAGCCCCATCTACATCGTAAACTCCACTGGCTCTTGTTAATATAATGGAAGGATTTGGCTACCTCTTGAAAATAACGCGGGCCTCCATGAAACCCGCAATGACATTCAACGGAAGGACGTCAGTTACTAGCTTCCTAGAACATTTGGATAACCCCATTTTCTATTGTATCATGTCCCTTAGTGCAAAAAGTAACGATAACGACAACTGTTCGAGATTTGCAAGAACTAACCCTTCTCCTTTCTCCTAATAAACTTAAAATAAAATAACTTTACATCTATTATTCCAAAGCGTCATATTTATTTTCAAAATCCGTAGAACTGCAACAAACTATATCAGGTTCAATGTTCCGCCTTACTTTCTTTGGGAACATGCACAGACCTGACTCGGAACAGGGAGCTTACTAAAGCTATGTTCAATAAATGTGGGAAGTAGACAAGATACACAGGAAGGGTATACGAAACCCTTTATTTTACACTCTTTACAATAATTTCCGTACTTCGGAATACAGAGACCAACTACTTGTGGTCTGAACGTAAGAATATAAAAATATTAACTAAATTCTAATTTAAACTTTGGAATAATAAACAAGGGCCTACGTGGAAGATCGGCCGTATATTAACAGGAAGCCGTATATAGTACAGAGAACTGTTAACACTACAATACGTTTAAAATTATCACGAGGATTAAACCTCTGGCCTGGAAGGCAACCAGCAACCGAGTAAAACTGCTAAGGTAAGCGGCCTGCTTCGACTAACTCCTTCCTCTCTCTCGCTTGGCAAAAAGCCACAACTTAAGTACTTGGCGTTCGCCAGACAAATTTGCATAAATAAGTTAAAGCTTTTAATTCTGGCCGGAAGTAGAAAATAAGAAGTGATAGTAAAGAATTAAAATAAAATAAACGTTAGTAAAACTTAAGATCCTTACATACTTTCCCGCCAGAGTTAATTAGTTTGAAAATGAGGTCTAAACGACCTTGTTGAAAACTTTTAGCTCTAGGATTCTAAGTCTAACGCGAGGCCAATCTTTTAACAAACATTCTCAAAAACTAGAAACCTAGAAATTTAAAAAATTTGTTTTTACAATATCAGCTCCATGGACAACCACGTTTTTCATCTGTACTGCATCTAAAAACAGGAGCTTTTTCTTCAGTTGAATCTGGTTCCTTCCAGAGATCTGGAAGGAAAACTAGTTTAATGAAATGTTACACAATCAAATGGCAAGTTAACATGAACATTTATATTTCTTCTTTTAAAAATCTATTCTTATTTCATTCATGACTTTATTTTAATTATCTCTCCCCGTGCTCTCTGACATGTGTTGTAAAAGAAAAACACCAAACACGAATGTGTTTATGTATACGTGTTCAACACTGCCGCCTACAATCAAAACACTAACGTGTTAAAATTCAACATAACAAGACCTCGTAACACACCCTATCTTCAACTCTAAACCCTGAGGTACTATTCTGAAAGTGGCTAACTCTGAAGTGTAGCATCAGAGAGCCTAACTACATTCATTCAACCTTTAACACATATTCACCATAATTTGGTCTTTTTACAGTCACACGAATAAGTTTAAATTTTTTTTTTTTTTTTGCATTACTTTCACTTTTGCCATATCATAGTATTTCTTAACGTTTAGAATAACAGTTCACATTGTATATAAGAACATATTAACATGCCGTTAATTTTACGCATTTTAAAACAGACATTAGTAGTACATTGTTAACTTCTATTCTTTTCAAAGCAAGTGCCAATTCTTCTACATTGAAATACTACATTTCAAAAGTCTTTCAGACTAAAACTTCTTTCTTGCCAGAATGTTTTAAATAAAATTTATACAATAACTTTTACAATATTCAAGTATTTTACACATTCCTATTATACATCAACTTTAGTTTTACTCGCGAGTAATTGAAAAACATAATACCAAAATCGGTAACAACTCATTTCTCGCCTTTTTGGCGATAAAGGTAGACCTCACATGAGGTAAAACTTCTTGAAACTGCCACTTGCAGTAAGAATGAAAGATTAACTTAGGTTTGCAAAGTAACATAAAACTTTTACTTATCTTTGTGATATTCGGACATTCTTTTCACTGCCCAGTCCTGGAAGGTAGCGAAGATTCGTAGTTTGATTTATCCTCCTTCTTGTGCGGGCTCGCCCTTCAGTTCCTTCCTCTAGGAAGCTTTCTTTTCCCTCCAGTTCGGTCACCCTTGAAGACCTTCCTTTTCCGCCTCTGCCTGTGGTCTTGGCCGTTTGATGGCAGCTGGTCTTGGCGGAACCGGGACACTTCTCTTCGCGTTCCTGCTTGGATCTCGTTGCTGGCCGTTCAAATTTTCCTTGTACCTTTTCCTCCGCCGCTAATCGCCCTTCCGCAGTTCGGCGACATTTGCTGCGGAGAGTCCTGTCCGATGAGTAGATCTTCCGTTTGGGAGCCGGTTTATAGTTGCCGTTATTTCTCCTGGCTTTCTTTGCATTCGTCGTACTTTCTCCTTCTTCATTCTGGGGGTGTTCGTGAGCTCTCTTTTCTGGACGGTGGACGGTGGAACGGCTTCTTTTTTGTTACCTTCAATTTTTCCAGCGGGGGGAACTTTCTTTTCACTTGCTTCTGTCTCTCATTGGCTTGCCCTTGTACTTGTCGTTTTCCCACCTCTGGAACTTGTACCTGCGGTGTCTGCCGTACC